TTTTTTTTATCAAATCAGCATTTTAGAATTCTTCTTACAGGAAAATCACGATTAAAAAATTAATTAGAAAAATAAGATATTTTTACAATTATAGATAATATTTGTGACTCCACTTAAATATATCACATGCAATTCTTTTATAAAAAATATAGTATAAGCAATTTTTTTATTTTTTAAGTAATAATTTCAAATTTAAAAATAAATAAATACTAGTATTGATCTCAAGTAATGATGAAGATAGTATTTATTTAAATTTAAAATAGATTTTAAATTTATTTAGTAAAATTATATCTGTTATATTTTAAAAAAATACAAATTATATTTATGATATTGTTATTATAAATATATTAAAATAAGTTTTTTAAAAAATAAAATTTATTTTTGATATCCGAATATCTAAACAGTTAAAAATCATTAAAAAATAATTTCAAAAAAACATATCAAAACTTTTTAAAAGTATTTTTGAACATAAAATTATTTTAATATATTTATTGTGTACGGACGGTTCACATTTGAAAATTTTACGTCACTAAAAACAAAGGACATGTTTCATGGGTACTTACGGGGGCAAGTATGTAGTATATGGGTTTGTTGTGGGCAAATCTCTTCACTATCTCTATATATCCCTACGTAGAGGTCCTGAGTTTGTTTCCTAGTGTCTATTAATATAGCCAATCTCTGCACCCAGTACCCTAGCTTTCTCTCTTCACAGAAACTCTTGTATCTCCTGAGAAGGAATGGCACAAGTACATCTCTTCTCGAAGAAACTAAAACCAAGCCATGTAAGCCATGCTCTTTCAATTCCAATCGATGTCCTTGAGGCTTTTCCAATTCCTGATGGAGCCCATATGATGAATTTTGAAGCAGTCGATGCTACTGATAATGCATGGAGGTTTTGCTTGTCAACCCGTAGGACTGGAGCTCACCCAAAACCCGTTCTTCTACGCTCTTCTTGGCACCGTTTTGTAGAGCAGAAAGGCCTTGTCACCGAAGACAGGGTTGTCTTCTTCATGGAGAGAAATGAAGCTAATGACATGCTCAGGAGGTACACGGTTAGAGCTCAACGAAAAGTGATGACCTTGATGGGGCAAGATGTTTGGGTCGATGTCGAGGATCTTCCCTTATATGGTCTTTGAAGAGTTTGACATATAAGCTGTTGGCACGAAAAGAGTCCTTTCCACTCCACTGGTACTTTGTTAAGCTAGCCTTATAGCTACTTTTGGTTTCCAAGTAATCAATATCATGCATATTATTGTGTACTTGGTATCTTGTTTTGTTTCCAAGTTTCTTTCCTTTTCTTCTTAATGTATGTGTGCCTGTCGTGCCCTATGAGCTTTGAATCGAAAGAACATGATATTGAAGCTAATAAAAATAACTAAGAGTCTTTTCCAACAAGCCATGTAAGTGAGCATTCCACCAGGACCAGCTGGGATTGGTGGGGCGTTCATGAGTTATTTCTCCTGCATTTCTGGCTTCATTGATTCCGGTGAGGCAGAGTTGCTGGCGATATACAAAGCCCAAGCTTAAGATCGTGGAAACTTGAGACCTTTTATGAGCTTCAAAATATTGTTAAGAAGACAGGTGAGGGAAACAATTTTTACACTCACTCACGCAGAGGCTAACCATGCAGCAGACCAACTAACCAGCAACTTAAGGAATATATAAACTTCAAGATACTGTGAGAGTTCAATTCTAATTATTTTAAAGTTAAAATTTTAGTATTGTATTTAATTTTTATTTTGTATTTTTAATATATAAGCATATATTTTATTATGTAGTTTTATATCCTCAAATATTAAAATTTATATCTAAATACTAATATAAAATGAACAAAATAATTGATGAAGAGTTTATAATATTTTAATTAAATCCTAACGAATAATAATAAACTAGTTATGATATCTATTTTAAAAAAAATATGAGAAAGATGTAAATTTATTTTATATAAAAACATGTTTGGAAAATTTTTTAGAATTTAGTTATATAAATGATATTTTGTTTTTATTTTTTTGGAAAGAGGAAATTAATTTAACAATTTAACAATTTTGAGATATATTTTTAGAATTTATTTTTTTAAGAAATGTTTATAGGAAAACAAAATATTTTAAAGCTGAATATATATTTTATAGTGTTAAAATGCAACTCAATATTATGCAAAAATGATATAAAAAAAACATATGAGAAAATCGCAATTTGTTTTAAAGGATTTTTGATTTTTTTTAAAATATTTTCATTTTTCCTTAATAATAACATTATATTATTATTAAATATATAAATTCATCCTGACGCAATCAATTAGGCCGAAATCAGCCTAACAAATTTAATGGAACAAGAATGTTTTGTTTTTATCGATATCAAATTTGAACCTTGATTCAATATAGAAGTATCCCAACCATTAATTAAAAGTAATTATTATTAGTTGTTAAATTTATTGGAAGAAAATATTATAAATACTGATTTTAGTATACATAAAGAAGAAAAAGAAAAATAATTAGAGAAAAAACCCCGAGCACATAAAAAATCCCAGAAGAAGGAAATTACCAGCAACCCTACAAAAGATATTTACAAAAATATAAAAGAGGGGGCACGGCCGAATACTAGGCTAGCCGCCGCTGCCCCCTCCCCCATGCTTCTTTCCTCCTCTACTTCCGCAGTCACCAAGAACAGACAGAGCAAGCCCTCCGTGGTTTTTCATTCCACTCTCTTCCGCCGCCACCACCCTTCAACTTCCAAAAGCCACCATATTAGCCTTCGCCCAGTGTTGCAGAAGACCCTCGTCTTCTCTTCGGATCCCCCCCACAGACCATGCAACTGACAATCATCCACCAGCATTAACGGCAACGTCTCCTGCCCTGAGCAACAATGACATTCCCCGGCCATAGAAGCCGAAAGGGAATATCCCCTTACAGTGCACAACTGACCAAACCGTCAGCTCTTCCTCACGTCAACAACAACATCTCGTCCAGTCCACGAACTACTTCTTTCTCAGGCTGAAAGTTCCGCCAGCAGTCCACCAGCACAGTTTCTTTCTGTTTCACTCGTTCTCCACAGCATGACCACTCCATTCAGCAGCGAGAGTTCTTCATCAACGCCTCGTCTCTACAACAGGAGGCAGAACAGAAATGAAAGGGGAGGAGAAACAGAACCAGGGGAAAATTTTGGTCCATTCAACCTGCAGCACCTCGTGCTTTTACCACCATCGTCTTCGTCCTGAACGGAGAGGGCTGGACAGAGCAACAGAGGAGGGAGAACAGAGGGGGAAGAACAAAACCAGACGGACAGAGAAGAAAGAGGACCGAAATTGTATTCTCATAATTTTGTTTTGAAAAAATAAATTGTTTTTTTTTTTAATTTTTTTATTTAATAATAAATTTATTAAAAATTAAACTGTATAATATTTTTATAATTAAATTATATTTTATTAATTGTTTATGTAATTTTTCAACTAGTTACCAATTAAAACCCAGGTTATATATAGATTTGAGTTGAAATTATATTCATAAAATTAATATTTTGAATTATAAACAGTTTGGAACGCCATGTGAAGACGCTATGAAACTAAAACATGAAAAAACAGAACACTAACTGGAACGGATATGTTTAAACAGAGCAATTGTAACCTGGACTCCACCATTAGCCTGTGAACTCAAGATTCCAACTTTCCCTTTCCTTCCTAGTTTATGTGAACTTTGGTTACTCATTCACATTTTCTTTTCTTTATTTTTCTTTTGTAAGGAAGTTTGAAGCATCAAGAAACTAGCTCAGTATTGAATTGAAACATGTCTAGTCCTTTAAAATTCACAGAACGTAACAGGGATAGCGAGAGTAATTCAATAAAGCAGCACTCAAACCATATCATACATAACTGAGAAGAGAAACTTACTTCGTTCCTTCTCCTCTTTTGATAAGCCCAGATGGAGGGATTCACAGAAGGCAGCAAAATTGCCCCAAACCTGTAGCAAAACGCAAAGAAAGCTGGTTGGTATACAATACTCCTGCTAAGGAGCTTGAAGAAAGAAAGCGATTTGGCATCGCTGCAGCAGCTAGAGAGATCTTGAAAGAGATGCTCAGCCTACCTCTTTACATGTATCAAAAACAAGAACACCCAACATTCCAATTCTGGTTCACATCCAAGATATTGCCGCATTTTAATTCACTGCTACAGTAGCAGGGACTTATAATTCACTTGCTACTGTAGCAAGTGAATTATAATTCATTAGGCAGGCATGCGTAACGCACGCCTGCCATCCAACCAGAGTCAATTAGGTCAAGCCAGTCTAATGGGCTGAGATGGACTCAGCCCTAAAAATAAAAAATAACTAAAAATAAAATATAAAAAAATACAGTAAAAATAATAGATTGGAGGACCGTGTAAAACTAAAAGAGGGGCAATAATTTTTTTAAAAATAAAAATAATATTTTTTTATAATATTAATTATATTTTTTAATCCAATTATTAAATAATATTAAAATTTTACGAGAAATCTCCTATATGATATCTAAGATTAAAAAATATATAAAAACTGTCAATTGTATTCTCATAATTTTGTTTTGAAAAAATAAATTGCATTTTAATTCACTGCTACAGTAGCAGCGACTTATAATTCACTTGCCCATCCAACCAGAGTCAATTGGGTCAAGCCCAGCCCAATAAACTGAGCTGGACTCAGCCCCAAAAATAATAAATAAAAAAAAATAAAAAAATATAATAAAAATAATAGGTTAGAGGACCGTGTAAAACTAAAAGTGGGGTAATATTTTTTTTTCTTTTTAAAAAATAATATTTACTTTTACAATATCAATTATATTTTTTATTTAATTCGACTATTAAATAATACTGAAATTTTATAAGAAATCTCTTAATATAATGTGATATTTAAGGTTAAAAAATATATAAAACTGTCGATTGTATTCTCATAATTTTGTTTTGAAAAAAAATATTGTTTTTTTAATTTTTTTATTTAATAATAAATTTATTAAAAATTAAACTGCATAATATGTTTATAATTAAATTATATTTTATTAATTGTTTATGTAATTTTTCAACTCGTTACCAATTAAAACCCAGGTTATATATAGATTTGAGTTGAAATTATATTCATAAAATTAATATTTTGAATTATAAACAGTTTGGAACGATATGTGAAGACGCTATGAAACTAAAACATGAAAAAACAGAACATTAACTGGGACGGATATGTTTAAACAGAGCAATTGTAACATGGACTCCACCATTAGCCTGTGAACTCAAGATTCCAACTTCTTTATGTGAAGTTTGCTTACTCATTCACATCAGAGGACAGTTTTCTTTTCTTTATTTTTCTTTTGTAAAGAAGTTTGAAGCATCAAGCAACTAGCTCAGTATTGAATTGAAACATGTCTAGTCCTTTAAAATTCACAGAACGTAACAGGGACAGGGAGAGTAATTCAATAAAGAAGCACTCAAACCATATCATACAGAACTGAGCAGAGAAACTTACTTCGTTACTTCTTTCCCCCTCCTCTTTTGATAAGCCCAGATGGAGGGATTCACAAAAGGCATCAAAATTGCCCCAAACCTGTAGCAAAACGCAAAGAAAGCTGGTTGGTATACAATACTCCTGCTAAGGAGCTTGAAGAAAGAAAGCGATTTGGCATCGCTGCAGCAGCTAGAGAGATCTTGAAAGAGATGCTTAGCCTACCTCTTTACATGTATCAAAAACAAGAACACCCAACATTCCAATTCTGGTTCACATCCAAGATATTGAAGAGGTCAATGCTTCAGTCAATGCAGACGAGAGAGTTGAGGTCAACTGTCAAGCCTCCATGATTTGCTTATTAATTGAATCCTCAAAAACAAAGAGCAAATACCATGAGAATATTCGAAAGCAATAATTGAAGTAGCTTAAGCAAAGATGCCATTCATATATATTAAGAGATTAGGTAAAAAGAATGGGGAACTACCAGGAAAGTCGGACGAGATTGTGTTTGATGGAAAAGAAGCGGTATTTTTTTGACTCACAATCTTGGAACAAGTACAAATAAGTCCTTCTCCTTTATAGTCTGGCTAATCTACCCCCAAGCTTTCTTTCCATGTTAGTCCCTTTTGCCCTCTCTCACACTGCAGGTAAAATCATGCTCGTCTTCTGTTTTCGCAGATACAAAACCCCAGTACTTATATTTGGAATACCATGATTAGAGGCTACTCTAAAGCCAAAATTTTGGTACTTTACTCTGGCAAAGTATATTTCCTCCTAAAATTAAGATGTTTCTATGGTTGTTGTTGCAGGGTAGTTTGAGTAGTAAGGGATTTCTTGCCTGCAGAAAAATTATTAGTTATGATGATGCTTGTTGTTCTTTTTGTGATATGGAAAAATTATTAGTTATGATAACCTTTTTATTCATTGCTCTGTTACTTAGAGGTTCTAGAATCTTTTTATGCATTGGATTGGGTATGATGAGTGTATGCTGAAGACTATTCAGCTTTTTTTACAGGAATGGAATCATTTGTTACATGGCTTAATTAGTTGCTGAAGGTCGAGAATATTTTCAAAACATGAAAATAAACTATTTATATATGAATCACTAAGGTTTGATCTTGTTTTAAGCATAAATCAACTCAAAATTTTATGAAAATTCAATAGCAAAAAAATAAGATTCAAGATTTAATGATAAAAAAAGAAAGTGGAAATAAGAAAGACGGAGGATAAAGAGAACAGAGAGAGCCAAGAAATGGCGGGAGTGGGCGTTTGTTATACGTTGTGTTTCTGATAAGACAGAGCAAAGGTCAGCGGCCGCTGTTGATCCCATGGTGGATTTTGGGTTGATCGAGAGGGTGGAAGTGGTGGTGGTGTTGTCGTCGTTGTTGTTTTACTGGATGGAAGTGATGGGTTTGTTCTTTTTTTATTTCTTGTGTGTGGAGAGATTGAAAGTTATCTCGGGTCGTTTGATTATATCACCGCCACGGATAAAGGCAGTCATTAAATCAGTTTTCTTATGATAAAATCAATTAAATTTATCTTATTTGCGTAATTTAATATAAATAAATTTTACTCTGAAGTCATGGGAGTTCGGTTTACGAGCTCCAATGTCGAGCGTTTTCACCGGAGAAGTGAGGGTTGGGTTCGACCCAGTATGATCCAAACCATTTGATCACCATTTTTTTCTTTGGTTTGTGATTGTGACCAAAACCTAAAACCAATCAGTTAGATTGGCGCAAGGGTGGCGTGCAAGTAGGTTTGAAGATGTTCTGGTGAGTTGGTATGTTTCAAAGACGAAGTTTCTTCGGGCATTGATGGACTATTTAGAACGATTTAATGAGATATTTTTAAATTTATACGAACTGGATGATTCTTTGTTACGTGTAATACCATATTACCAGTGGAGTTTCTCAGCTCTAATAAAGTATAATTCTGGTAGACAGCTTTAGTTTCATTTAATTTCCATTATTTTGCTGTTTCCATTTGTGGCAATCTGCTTAATTTTCAGAGTCATATCTCTGACAATATTTAGCAGTTGAATTGATGCTAGATACCATCTTCCAGCTCTAGTTTGTCCCGGAATAACCTTAGTAATTTCTCCACTCGTGTCGCTGATCCAAGATCAAATAATGCACCTTTTGCAGGTATGCTTGCTATCTTACTAATTTAGTCAAGCATTTGTTTTCTTTTGGTTACTGCAAACTGCTCATTTAGTGGCATGCATTTTTCTTACCTATTGGTTTGCGCTATATTCCTGCTGCTTACCTGAGTGCCAACAGTGGATGGACTGAACAACAGGAGATCCTAAGGGAACTTTGTTCTGATTATTGTAAATACAGGTTGTTATATGTCACGCCAGAGAAAGTTGCTAAGTGAGTGTCATCTACATTACCAGTATTCTAGCAAAAATTATCATTTGATATTGCCTTCTAATTATAAATTTGAAGCTTAGGGCATCTTAAGAATTGGTTTCATGTTTTCTGGTATGCAAAATAGTTTCTCTGGTGGAACTTATGGGATGGTGGCATGGTGCTGTCGACCTTGTGTACCGCTAATCCAATTTGTTGCAGTATGTTTTGTAATTTAGTAGGCTATCAGCTCATTGTTTTTTTTTCGAATCCAGTGTACTTGTTAACTCTGCATGCAATTGAGTATAATATTTGTGACATTTCTCCTGTCTTTTAAAGTCTGCCCTCAACTCGTGGTTTGTATCCCTAACTCAACAGTTGGATTGCGTTCTTCAAACTAATCTTGAAAGCCTTGTGCACTTCCTTCTTCCTTGCTCGAGGGATTCCCTTATTAGTCAATCTTTAAAGTCTCACATCTCCTGACTATGCTTTGCTTGCCCTCTAAGCATAGGCTTATCTGTTTTAACATCCTGGATGATGATAGATAACATAAATTATTGCTTTGAGCAAAAAAGTTATTTTCAATTGCATGGCCAATGAAAGAAAGGTAAGATTGGTAATATGCTTTCATCTATTCATTGGGAAAGATTGATCATCAGATTGGTCAAAATGGGTGATCTTTGAACCCGTATTATATTGTGATCCTGGAGAGCCGATATTTTTATGCAGTTCGAAATACTTCTTTGAAACGTACCTGTTCTGATTGCAGAAGTGATGTTCTTTAGCGGCACCTGGAGAGCTTAAATGGTCGTGGATTGCCTGCCAGGATTGTTATTGATGAAGCACACTGTGTGAGTCAGTGGGGGCACGATTTTAGACTCGATTACATTACAAGGTTGTGCCTTTAAAGTTTGCTCGAAAGTATTTTTTTTTTTTTAATTTTAAAAAAATAAATTTTGAAAAAATAAATTATTTTCTGATATTTAGTAATATAACAAAAAATAAATTGAAAAACATTTTCTAGTGTTTAATTACCTTAGAAAATGAGCTGAAAAATAACTTATTAATATTTTATTTTTTTTAAGTTTATTAAATCTAGACCTTATATAAATATGTTGATCTATGAAACAGGTATATATGTTAAAGGGAAATCAATGTTTGTAAAAGTTTAAATAATTGAAAGTCTGGTGAATGGTAATGCCATTTAAAATATGTTTTCAAGGTAATCAAAACAAATCATCATTAATTATCTAGGCACACAAATTAGTTTCTCATGCAACAAATTATAGACATTTACAACATGCATGTCCATGAATTGTGTTGGAGTAGCCAAAATTTAGTTTCTCATGCAACAAATTATAGACATTTACACCATGCATTTCCTGAAATTTATTTTTCTTCGTCTGAAGTATGTTCTCTAAGTGCATTAGAGAAGCTTTTAAGTTACCCCATTGATCTTGCACCGTGTTGTTTCTTTAGGGTATTGTGGAATGTGATCAAACTGTAAAAGAAAATCTGGTATTGATGTGAAGGTGAAATTGACATTCCAATCCCACCCTTTTAGTTTATGTTTGCTAAAGTTAATGATTTGATGTACAGGAATGTGGACATAAAACAGCATTTTACCATGGTAATATGGATGCTGCACAACGTTCCTTTGTTCAGAAGCAGTGGAGCAAAATGAAATTATCATCCGTGCTACAGTGGCTTTTGGAGTGGGTATAATTTATTGTTACTGATCACTGCCTTGATTAACCGAGAACACCATGTACTAGCTCGTGTATTTTTGCAAGCATCAACAAACCAGATGTCCGCTTTGTGATTCATCATTCTCTTCCAAAATTGATTAAAGGTTACCATCAGGTAATCATATCTATCCTTACCTTTTAAAGGTGTTCACATTACAACTGTTGATTGTTCAGAATTGAGGTACAAGTATTTGGTTCCTTGATGACCACAAGCTAGTAACGATTTCACCAAATTTCCAGGAGTGTGGTCGTGCTGGCAGAGATGGTCAACGCTCATCCTGTGTGTTGTATTACAGCTACAGCGACTATGTAAGCTAATGTCACAGAATTCAGGTATCTTCTCATTTCTTGTAGACTTTTTTTTCTTTTGGCCATGCTGTCATAATAAATGCCATTTATTGACCTTTCCTGTTCATTGTTATCTTTGATTGAATTATTTATCTATTTTCTCATCCTTTCTAGATACGAGTCAAGCACATGATTATACAAGGACAAGCAGAGCAAAGTCCCTGGACAGCTGGATGTGGTCGCAATACTATGAAAAGTTCAGATAGGATACTGGAAAAAAACACTGAAAATCTCCTGCGAATGGTAACTGTTATGAAACTTTTTTCTTTTGTATTGTGGCTGCTGTTAGTATATCCATCTGTTTTCTAACTTATTGCATTCTAAAATATGACTATTCCTGCTTCAGGTCAGTTATTCTGAAGATGATGTCGATTGCAGCCGTCTCTTACAACTTCTGCATTTTGGAGAAAAGTTTGATGCTGGAAACTGTGGGAATACATGTGATCAAAACTCTTTTGGCATAGTCCATTTGTCGCTTCCTTATTCTTCAAAGTTTGTATTGTCTTTTCTAGGTTGAGCTGGTCAAGTTAACTGGGCAGCATTTTTCATCATCTCACATTTTAGAAGTCTACAGGGGTTCCTTAAGCCAATTTGTATGTCCTGAGAACAAAAAGAAATGCCTATCTTATTTAGATGTCATGTCCTTGCATAACTTCATGGTGTTGCTGTCTGAACCAGGTCAAGAGACACAGACATGAGAACTTGAGCCTTCATGGAGCTGGAAAACACCTAGCCAAGGGTGAAGCTTCCCGTATATTGCGTCATCTTGTTATCGTCAGTGTTAAAGGTGCTTGTGGTTTTTCAAATTCTATGGCGCTCACGTCATTGTGATAGAGAGAGCGACTCTACCATTCTCATTGTTTAATTTCTCATGTTAAATGTTTTTTGATTTGTGATTTTATTTTCTTTCAGGTGAATGAATCCAAGGCACGCAAACTATGCTCTGGTGGGCAAAGGATTGTTTTAAGGTGCAGCCTTTCAGCATGCTTCTTTTGAGTACATGTTTCATTAGACTTATGCCAGTGTTTTATTGCCAAATGCCAACTATAACTATATAACTTGATTATTCTCTGAAGAAGCATGTGGATATTGAGCATAAGAGAAAATAGAACCGACACCAGGTCTTAGTTCATTTGGGTTGGATTGTTTGGTCTAAACCATTCCCTTTCATTGGGCAAAACCTAGGCAAAACGCATGTTTTTGCAAAGAAATTCAGATGAAGCTGTCAGAAATCTGGCCAAGTTTTGTTTTGGTTGGTCCAGATGCTTAACTTTGGAGCTACTGGTTATAAAATTTACAATTTACATATGGCATTAGCGAGGGTGGCTTTGACTAAAATATGGAGACCGAGAGTTGGATGAAGCCAGCAAGCTTAGCCTTGTGCTTCGCTTAGCCTCACATATTATGATCCTCTGGACAAACCATCATTATTTAACCTTTCTGTTTTTCATAGCTGAAATGAACAGGTAGGATGCTGATTCCGGTATCTCATGCACCTTGTAGATTCCCTTCCTCTGTAAAAGCTTCAAAACAGGGCAAATCTGAGGCTACTCCAGCGAAAGGCTCACTCATGTCCGGGAAGTTAAGTCCTCCGCAAGCTGGTAGTCCTGCCCAACCTCAATCTGAAGTGGACTTGGTATGCTTATGTCTTGGGTTTTTGTTCTCTTCCTTCATCATGATTGATGAGATCCCCGGCCATCTATTAAACTTTTAACATGAAAGAACCTGTCGGCAAAACTATTCTCTGCTCTGCAATTGCGAATGCCACACTATTTATTCTTTGGGCTACATGCACACAACACGGACACCGAGCATTTCAAATCAGTCGAACTCGCAATCCAAAAGCGATTACTCGGAGCATGCTGCGGAGATCGAGCGTTATTCTAGAGATTATATTATAAAAAATTTATTGTGGACCTTGAATTGAAAATGACTTCGAATTTTGGACAGGCGTGAAAGAATTTGCCCTTCAACAATATCGTGCGCCTTGTTGCTTACTCGAACAAAAACCTCGCAGAAATCTCAAGAAAACGCAGGATTTGATGAAACTCTGGGCGGGCTTAGAGCACATGCCTGCTAGATCAAGAACCAGCTTTATCTAAAATCACAAGAGCCAATAATAATGGTAAAATACAATTAACTGATAACAAATCTTATGCAATGTATTATATAAATCTCCATTTTCATATTTAAGTTTCACACTGCAAAAAGTTATAGTGATCCCAAGTTCATGACCGTGACCCAGAACCGACTTATGACTTGAAATAAATAGGGAACCTAGATATAATTATAAATAAAACCTTTTAAAATATAATTTTTAAGAAATATATTTTATTATTATTCATGTATGTCTAATAAGAGGAACAATTTTCATTTCATAAAATATAATTGAAAAATAAAAAATTATTTATTCTTGTAGTTTTTTATTAAATGGGGTCCTTGGCCAGTGTCCAAGTTACCCAAAATGCTCTAGTTCACTAAACACTTAGACAGGCATGCAAGATCTTCAGCAAGTGTTTGCTTTTCGCAAGTTAAAACGAACGAGGTGCACGAGAGGCAATACGAGCGCACCTCCTGGCTCATTTAGTCTTTGATAAGCCTGCGTTTCCCTTGTTCTATCTACAAATAATCCATCAAGATTTAAATAACGCCATGCGAAATCGATCAAATGAACAAGATTTCTGCTATCTCTCGCTCGATGTCTTTCTACCGTGAATACAGTAGCTAGCTAGTTATAAATTAACAAGCTCCCTGCAAGAAATCATATCAATCCAGCTGCAGATAGCTTAAACATAACCATTTCTCTCTTTTTTCACGATCCTTGAGAAAAAAATGCAGATCTTCAGCAAATCTTTGACAGATACTGATGTCCATGTTCGGTTCTCTTTCCCAGTTCGTTGCTTACAGCATTTAGATTTTGCTGGAAATAAGTATGTTGATTTGAATGTTAAAGATAGCTGTGGTGAGCTTCGAGTTATTCGTTGCCGGAAGAGAAATCAAGGTTATGACAAGCCAGAGCTTTGTATGGGCTGGCGTGATTTTGTTGATGATTATGGACTGACAGTTGGTGACATGGTTGTTCTTCATCTTGAGGATGACCATAACCTGGGGTCACAGTTCAGGATTGAAGCTAAGAGGAGGAGTACCATCAAGCTGTTTGGTAAGGAGGTTTGGGTTGAAGTGACAAGAGCTAACTAGCTATTATTTGCATGGAGCGTGGCTGTTCGGCCATATCCAGATATATATATATATATATATATATATATAGAAGAATGAATTTCCTAAGTTTGGTGTTTTTTGGTGTGTAAATTTATGTATGTGTTTGTGTTTGAGTGTTTGAGTCGAATTAAATAAATATGTTGCTGTTCTTAGTTTCTTGAATATGTATCAAGTGCATGAAATTCTCAGCAATGACGGATTTAATTAATTATATATAGAAGAATGTTGCAGTTCTTAGTTTCTTCAAGTTTTTACATTCTTCTGTACATATATATATTCTTCTATATATATGTATTACGTGCATGAAATTCTCAGCAATAACGGTTTTTCAATTTTGTTGATTTTTTATTTTATTTTTTCTATTTTGTGCGCTTTTCAAGTGTCTGAAAATGAGAATTTCCATTGATTTGATGGATAAATAAATTGAAAATAATAAAAAAGAAATGGATTTAAAACTATAGAGACTACATGCATGCATATGTCTATATATATATATATATATATATATATATATATAGTCTTTTAAATCATGGGAAATTCATTGGTGATGCTACGAAACAAAGATCATTGTTTCAAATCCTATGGGGTCAATTGCCTTCTGTTTTGTCTTGAATGACTGATATATTTCAATTAACTGGATCAGAATTTCAATTAACTGGATCAGATTTTATCTTTATTAAAATCCCAGTCCATTCCATAAATCCTATTTAAATTTCAGCCGGAACTTTTTAAATAGATAATGTTTTTTTATAAATATTATTTAGTTTTATAATATCAATTATATTTTTTAATTCAATTATTGAATAAAGCTGAAATTTTATGAAAATTCTCCTCCTATAATAATTCAAGTTAAAAGTTTAGAAAAGCTTTTGAGCATTTTTATAACTTTGTTTTAAAAAGTCATCTTTTTGTATGTTTTTTTAGATTGATTTTTTTTAATTTTATTATTTAATAATAAATTTATTAAAAATTAAGTTATATAATTTATTTTATTTGAGATTATTATAGTTTCATGGTCGGAGTTATAAATTTAAAAAGTTAATCTAGATCAATTAATTAAGTTATATAATTTATTTTATTTGAGGTTATTATAGTCTCATGACCTGAGTTATAGATTTAAAAAATTAATCTAGATCAATTCAATATGTTATCGTATTAATATTTTTTAAAAAAAATATATCATTTTTAATTTTTTTATTAGAATATATTTTTATCAAATATCTAAAATATTTTTAGATTTATTAAATTAATTGAGTTATATTAGTTCAACTCTAATTTTTTTTATTAGTGTTTGGAATTTAAATTTTATATTTTAAATTAAGTTTATACGTGGATTTAGGTTGGAATTAGAATTGTTGAATTATATATATAAAAACAGTACATTCTTAAAATTAAAACCATCTAAAACATTTCATTTCAATTAAAAAAACAGAACGCAATTGTAACATGGATTCCACCATTAGCCTGTGAACTCAAGATTCCAACTTCCCCTTTCTTTCCTAGTTTATGTGAAGTTTGATTGGTTTTGTGATGTCTCAAGAGAACAGTTTTTTTCTTTTCTTTTCTTTTCTTTTCTTTTCTTTTCCTTTGTAAAGAAGTTTGAAGCAAAAGCAGGCAAGCAACCATCAAAACGTAATGGGAATAGTGAGAGTAAGTCAATAAAGAAGTACTGAAACCATAACTGAGAAGAGGAACTTACTTCTTTCCTCCTCCTCTTTTGATAAGCCCAGATGGAGGGATTCACGAAAGGCATCAAAATTGGCCCAAACCTGGAGCAAAACGCCAAGAAAGTTGGTTGCTACACAAAAGATCCTGCTAAGGAACTTGAAGAAAGAAAACGATTTGGCATCGCTGCAGCAGCTAGGGAGATCTTAAAAGAGATGCTTAGCTTACCTCTTTACATGTACCAAGAACAAGAACACCCAATATTCCAAGCCTGGTTCACATCCAAGATATTGAAGAGGTCAATGCTTCGGTCAATGCAGACGAGAGTGTTGAGGTCAACAGCCAAGTCTCGATGATTTGCTTATTAATTGGATCCTCAGAAACAAAGAGCAATACCATGAGAATATTCGAAAGCAATAATTGAAGGAGGTAAAGCAAAGATGCCATTCAAATATATATTAGGAGATTAGTTTAAAAGATTCCCTGGAACGTAGGACGAGATTGCGTTTGAAGGAAAAGAAGCGGTATTATTTTGACTCAAAATCCTGGAACAAGTACAAATAAGTCCTTCTCCTTTATTGTCTGGCTAATCTACCCCCAAGCCTTGTCTTGCCTTGGCCTTTTGCCTTCTCTCACACTGCAGAGATAAGTCGTGCTCGTCTTCTGTCTTCGCAGATACAAAACCCCAGCATTTATAATTGGAATAACATGATTAGAGGCTACTCTGAAGCCAAAATGGGCCATAGTGGCTTCTTGTTTTTCTGCCAAAGGCGTGCGGAGAGCAGTTTTTGAGAGTTTTAGGAGGGAAATCAGTTCATAGTGGTATTCGAAAGATGGGTTTTGTTTATGCTATGTTGTTTCAAGATGGGCTGGCTCGTTTTTATGATCAGCGTGGTTGTTTGGGTTTTGCTTGACACTTGTTTGATGGAATTCCTGCTAGACATGGACTTTCTGTCTATGACTGATGGGTATTCTAAGCGTAACTGTGGGGATAAGACTGGAAGCTTTTTGAGTCGATGTCAGTGGAGGGCAATGTAGAGCCAGCAGAGGTCACCATGATAGCCGCTCGTTCAGCTTTCTCGAGGAAGGGTGCTTTGAGATTAGGGAAGAGTTTTCACGAATATGCAAAACTAGAAATGTAACTCACCATGAATGTGAAATGTGGCTGCAAGAGGGATCTTTGATAGCATGGGAGTTAGAGATGTGTTCTCTTGGACGAGCATGGTTATTGGGTGTGCTAAAAGCGGTGAGCTAGAGCTGGCAAGGATGTCGTTTAATGAGATGCCGGAGAGGAATGTGGTTTCCTGGAGTGCCATGATTGCTGGGTAACCACCCAAAGGAAGCTTTAGAATGGTTTGTAACATGCTGGAAGCTGCGTTTGTTCCAATGGAGAACATTAGTTCGTGTGCTCTCTGCTTGTGGTCAATTGGATTGCTTGGAATTTGGTCAGTGAATCCATTGAAACTACATCATCGTTACAAAACACAACGAATCAGTGTGATCACAGCAAACGCGTTCATTGACATGTATGCTAAATGTGGGGTCATACATGAAGCTGAAAATAGGGAGTGTCAGCAGTTGAAGTCTCTTCTTGCTGAAGCAGAGAAGAATTTATCTATTTCTGATTCAGCTGCGAGAAGGGTGCGGAAGTTAGAGAAAAATGAGATTTTCACACTTAAATTAGCTCGTGCTCTCATTGATGATATTCAGGATCTGAGAATTTTGGTGCTTTACTCTGGCAAGGTATATTTCCTCCTAGAGTTAAGATGTTTTTGTGGTTGTTGTTACAAGGTAGTCTAGTATAAGGGGATTTCTCGCCTACAAAAGAATTGAGACCATTGATCATCTTTTTATTCATTGCTCTCTGTTACTTAGAGGTTCTAGAATCTTTTTATGCAGTGGATTGGGTCTGCTGAACACTATTTAGCTTTTTTTACAGGAATGGAATCATTTGTTACATGGAAAATTTCAGCACAATGTCATTTATATGCTTTTGTTGTGATATCTTGTGGTCTATTTGGATTACCCATAACAAAAGGCCAAGGCAAGACAAGGCTTGGGGGTAGATTAGCCAGACTATAAAGGAGAAGGACTTATTTGTACTTGTTCCAGGATTTTGAGTCAAAATAATACCGCTTCTTTTCCTTCAAACGCAATCTCGTCCTACGTTCCAGGGAATCTTTTAAACTAATCTCCTAATATATATTTGAATGGCATCTTTGCTTAAGCTCCTTCAATTATTGCTTTCGAATATTCTCATGGTATTGCTCTTTGTTTCTGAGGATCCAATTAATAAGCAAATCATCGAGACTTGGCTGTTGACCTCAACACTCTCGTCTGCATTGACCGAAGCATTGACCTCTTCAATGTCTGGGATGTGAACCAGGCTTGGAATATTGGGTGTTCTTGTTCTTGGTACATGTAAAGAGGTAAGCTAAGCATCTCTTTTGAGATCTCCCTAGCTGCTGCAGCGATGCCAAATCGCTTTCTTTCTTCGAGTTCCTTAGCAGGAGTATTGTATAACAATCAACTTCCTTTGCGTTTGCTTGAGATGGTCTAATGCTCAAGATTAGCATTTTTTGTTGTTTCTTAGTTTGTCATTTTTTTAAAAGCATATGTATATATCAAAAAAAAAGAAAACATGAAGCTGAAAACGTTTCAAATGCATTGCAAACGAAAATCTTTGTTTCTTGAAATTCCATGATTGCTGCTTATGCTTCTCATGGGCACGCTAAGCAAGTTCTGATCATTGTTTAGCAAATGAGAAGTGGTGGATGTAAGCCAGATGTTATTACATTTGTGGATGTCTTGTCAGCTTGTCACGGTGGCTTAATTAGTTGCTGAAGGTCGAGAATATTTTCAAAACATGAAAAGAAATTATTTATATATGAATCATTAAGGTATGAACTTGTTTTAAACAAAAATCAACTCAAAATTTTATGAAAACTCAATAGTAAAAATATAAGATTCAAGATTTAATGATCAAGAAAAAAAAATTTAAAAAAAAGAAAATAAAGAACTAATCATAAGAAAACATATCGAGACTTTATTATTTAGAAAGATCTTAACGAGATGATTTTAACAATATCTGAAATAACACAAAAAAGATCATAATTAACCCAAACAAAACACCTAATTAATTATAACTTTGTTTGGTGGTCTTCCAAGGTTTGATTAAATTATATTGTCAAGATCTTTGTAACGGTATTAGATATATAAAAAATAGAATTGCAATGTGTCCTCGGTTACTCATTCCTTCTTTACTTTGTTTATGTTGTAAATAATGGATACTATTTCAAAATGTTTTTATCTAGTGTTTATATAATCAACTCTGATATAAATATAACGACCTCTATAGATACAGGACCCTTAGGTTTGACAATCATATCAGACCCAAAGAAATATGGGGTTGACGAATTTGCTAGATCCAAAATACTTGGATTTGGCAATCAACCTAACCCAAGGCAAACATGTTAGCACTTTATAAATACCATGCACTCTTACAAGCAAAAGGATGCTAAAAAAACCATAGTGTTATTTGTCTAGGTTTATAAGGCTTGTTGGTATTTCCTTTCTATCTTGGTTGTTGTTTTTGTAACCCTTGTTTTTAGACGAGGAACTTGTTGGATCTTGGAGGATAACCTTGTGTTGGAGAAATATCTTTAAGGACAGTGTATGTACACGCCTCAAGTTATAGTTTGTCTATGTTTGATGTATCTAGTTTTTACACTAATCTTAAGGATATTTTAGTAACATAGACGAGAACAATGCTGTCGACAACGTTGGTTCCCTCAACAATGTTGTTGTTGAGAACTCAGTTGCTGCCATTTCTCTTGTTGCCAGCTCTGTTGTTGTTGCCACTATATCATTAACTAAACCATTCCTCATGTTTTACCATAGACAACATTGTTCATTTTTTTTAGGTTTGCTATAAATTTAAGGGGGGAATATTAAACCCAGTTGAATTCATGGTTTGGGTTTACCCTAAATAAACTAAAGCGTATAGGGTGAAGACTATGCAGATGTACTACTCATCCCCTCACGTTTTATTATGGACAACGCTAGTTTTTTTTTTAAGGTTTTGTTATAAATTTAAGGGAAAAATATGTGAGGCGAACATCATTTAGTTGCATTGTTCACCCTTTTATATTTTACTGTGGACGATATTGCTTACTATTTTTATGTTTGCTATAAATTTAAAAGAAACAAAAATATTAAACCTAGTTGAAGTCATGATTCGGGTTCACCCCTCAAGTTTTAGTATGGAAGACATTGTCCACTTTTTTTTTTAGGAAAAAAATATTTTCTTTTGTTTTTTGTTTCTATTTTTTAAATTAATCTTATTTTTATTTTTATTTAGATTAATATTCTCTCTCTCTTTTATGCTTTTTCAAAAGCTTATTTGAAATAACAATTATATTTTAATTATGTATTTAAATGTTTTGGGGGTATTTCTGATTAATTTATATTTTTTTAATCTTTTATATACATGAACTTTAATTTTGAAAATAAAAATAAATTTATTTTCAAATAATATTTATAACATGTGCAACCTTGCATATTATTTTTTACCTTTTATTTTATTCAATTAATTTAATGTGTATATCTGTTTTTATTATCATTTGATCGAATAAATCAATTATTTTAATTAATAAATTTAGCAAATACAATCGTGTAAATGTCACGTCTTGCAAAATTAAATATATTAATCTACACTTGTTTCTCAATTTTTTTAGTTTTTATTTTTAGTCATCATTTATGGTTTTTGTTTTTCACTTATTAAGACATACAATTCTCAATTGTTTTAATTGTACGTATGCATAAATTTTTTGATTTTCGCTTGGAATTTTTTTAAATACAAAAAGGTATTGAAAAAGTCTATATATAATTTTTTTGTTAAAAACAAATTCTAACTAGCGGTGAAATGCGGGTCAAATATCTAGTATAATAATTTATTGTGATTTACTTTATATATGGTTAGCTCGATCTTGTAACCCGCGTCACGGGTTTGACGCGTTAACTCTAATTGTTTTTTAATTGATATTTTTTTTTTCAATTTCATCATTCAACATGTTGATTGGAATTGATATTTTTTTTTCAATTTTATCATTCAACATGTTGATTGAGAATTATATTTCATGATTTATTTTGGTTTTCTTTGTATAAAATTATATTCGCCTCATTACTTGAGTCGCAGGTTTGGCGGGTTAACCTAGTTAAATTGAGTTTTTATTGGAATTTTTTCTATTTCATCCTTTAGCATTGGGTTGATTATGAATTAGACCTCATGAATTATTTTGATTTGTTTTCTATAGGGTTATCTTGGTCTTATGCTCGAGTCACATGTTTTGTAGGTTAACTCAGATAAACTCATATTGTTTTGTTTTATCCTATTTTTAAATTTATTTTTCTTCACTTTCAACCTTTAACAATGAGCTTATTGAAAAGTAGGCTTCATAAATTCTTTTTAATTTACTTTTAACAAGGTTATCACAGTCTCATGACCTTGGTCGCAAGTTTAACAGATTAATTCAGGTTGATTCACGTCTTTTTTTATTTACTTTTTATGAGATTATCCTAATTTTTTTATATAATTTTATACTTCAATATTTAGTTTATCGGAGATAAGAATTCATAATTTATTGTGGATAGCTTGGACTTATAACTCGTGTTGCAGGTTTGATCGGTTAACTCGAGTTTGTTTTCTCTCTTTTTAATTGACCATTTTTTTTTTCAATTTAATCATTCAACATCAAGTTAACTGGGAATTAGGTTTCATGATTTATTTTAGTTTATTTTTTATGAGGTTCTCTCAACCTTATGACTCGAGTCGTGGGTTTAATGAGTTAAACCTGTTGACTTGAGTTTTTTTTTTTTAACTTTTTCATTGGCATTTTTTATATTTTATAATTCAGCATTGGTTTGATTGTGAATTGGACTTCATGATTTATTTTGTTTTTCTTTCTATGAGGTTATTCAGTCTTATGCTCGGGTCACGTGTTTTACGGGTTAACCCGGGTAGACTTAAGTTGTTTCATTGTGTTTTATTTTCAAATTGATTTTTTTTTATTTTCAACCTTTAACTATGAGTTTATTCAAAATTAGGCTTCATAATTTATTTTGATTTTTTTTTAATGGGGTTATCATAATATCATGACCTTGGTCGCAGGTTCGACATATTAATCCGGGTTAAATCAAGTAATTGTTTTGTCTACTTTTTATGAGGCTATCTTGATATGATGAACCAGATCACAAGTTTGGCAGGTTAACCTAGATAATTTTTTGTTATTTTTTAATTAATTGTTTTCATTTACATTCTTCAACAATGAGTTGATTGAGAGTTAAGCTTTGTAATTTGTTTTGATTTATTTTTTATGGGTTTACCATGGTGTTATAATCCAGGTCATCGATTTAACAGATTAACTTGTGTTAGCCCGAATCAATTCAATATGTTGTCATTCTAATATTATTATTTTAAAAAAGATATTGTCTTGAAATTTTTTAATCAAACAGTGTTTTTTACAGGTTGTCTAGGTTATTTATATCTATTAGGTCGATTAGCTCATATTGGCTCAACGTCCATGTGATTTTAAAAACTATTTATTTGAAAAATATTAGCAATGCTTGATGTTTCTTTTGTATGCTAAAAAAATTTAATCTGACCCGAGTCATAAAACAGGTCACTAATCTAGTCTATCAACAAAAACTAATGGAGGGAAATCATTCTTCCTCTCCTTGAACGCTACTATTTAAGTGTTATTCATTGGAAATAAGGTGGCATGTGCCACACCGAGGGTTGGACCAAAATTTTTCCAACACTAAAAGAAAATATTCAAGCGATGATAATTTGAGACAACCAGGTTAAAAAAAGATAGACCTCTAAAAAAGGACCAAGTAAAAAAAGCCTAAGTTAAATAAAAAAAATATGGTGAATAAAAATGCAAGTTGACCCTAGTTAGCTTGATGAGTCCACTCTTGAAATAACAAAATAAAAAGAGAAGTAAAAAAATAACAAAGCTTAGGGAAAATGATTTAATGTAAAATGATAAAATTAAAAAATAAAAATAAAGTCATAAAAAATTAGAGGAAAAACTCCGAGTCAACTCAGGTTATCTCGACCGACCTGTCACTCGCGACATAAGATCAGAATAAAAAATATAGATGTCCAAAAGAAGGATCTAGCAAAAAAGACCGAAGTTATTCGAGATAACCCAAAATAAATAAAAAAATTATTTAGCTCAAGAACCAATAATTTAATACCAAAGTATGAAATTGTTAAAAAAATCAATTTTATAAAAAAAATCAAGTGAAAAAAATAAAATAATTATAGTTAATCTAACTAACTTATTAACTAAAATATAATATCGAGATAACTTAATAAAAAAAAAAAGTAAAATAATGAATTTAACGGTGAAGCACTTCCAGATGAAAGTCCAAGAACTGGGCTGGTGTTTCAAGATTCAGCCGTGTAAAGTATGTTTTTTTTTTTTTTGGTGCCTACACTATCTATCCTTTCTATTTTAATAGGAACCCTGGGAAAGATTAATAAAGAACAAAGAAAAGAAACCACATAGCCTCCTCGGAGTAAAACGTCATTGCGCGCCCATCCTGCTGACGGTCTCGGTCGATGGCACAGCAGACATCATTTATTCTTTGGGCTACCGAGCATTTCAAATCAGTCGATCTCGAAATCCAAACGCGATTACTCGATGCATGCTGAGGAGATCGAGCGTAATTCTAGCATTATTATATATATTATAAAAAATTTATTGTTGACCTTGAATTGAAAATGACTACAAATTTTGGACAGGCATGAAAGGAGTTGCCCTTCAACAATATCGTGCATCTTGTTGCTTATTCGAACAAAAACCTCGCAGAAATCTCAAGAAAATGCAGGATGTAGCTCTCCCTCTCTGGGGACCTTATTGATGGAACTTTGGGCGGACTTTAGAGCACACGCCTGCAAGATCAAGAACCAGCTTTATCTAAAATCACAGGAGCCAATAATAATGGTAAAATGCAATTAACTGATAACAAATCTTATGCAAAGTATTATATAAATCACCAAATTCATATTTAAGTTACACACTGTAAAAATTATTGAGCATGAATAATAACTCCATGAACATGTAATTAATTAATTTTCTTTTGTTAATGCTCAATATTATACTGATCCTAGATAATTGAAACGAGGAGTGAAAGCCTCATCTCTTAAGAGGGGACATTATCCCAAGTTCATGACCCAGACTTACACTTAAAATGAATAGGGATCCTAGATAAAATTATAAATGAAACCTTTTTAAGAAATATATTTTAATTTATTATTCTTCATGTATGTCCAATAATAAAAAGAGCAATTTTCATTTCATAAAATGTAATTGAAAAATAAACCTTATTTAGTCTTGTAGTTTTTTATTAAATGGGTCCTTGGCCAGTGTCCAAGTTACCCAAAATGCTCTAGTTCACTAAACACTTAGACAGGCATGCAAGATCTTCAGCAAGTGTTTGGTTTTCGCAAGTTAGAACAACGAGGTGCACGAGAGGCAATACGAGCGTACCTTCCGACTCATTTAGTCTTTGAAAAAGCGTAGTCATAAGCCTGCGTTTCTCTTGTTCTATCTACAAATAATCCATCAAGATTTAAGCTACGCCATGCGAAATCGATCAAATGAACAAGATTTCCGAAATCTCTCGCTCGATGTCTTTCTACCGTGAATACAGTAGCTAGCTAGTTATAAATCCACGAGCTCACTGCAAGAAACCATATCAATCCAGCAGATAGCTTAAACATAACCATTTCTCTCTTTTTTCACGACCCTTGAGAAAAAAATGCAGATCTTCAGCAAAGCGTTGACAGATACTGATGTTCGTTTTCGGTTCTCGTTCCCAACTCATTGCTTAGAGCATTTAGATTTTGGTGGAAATAATTCTGTTGATTTGCATGTTAAAGATAGCTGTGGCGAGCTTCGAGTTATTCGTTGCTGGAAGAGAAATGGAGGATATGACAAGCCAGAGCTACGTATGGGCTGGCGTGATTTTGTAGCTGATTATGGACTGAGAGTTGGTGACATGGTTGTTCTTCATCGTGAGGATGACCATAACCTGGGGTCGCAGTTCAGGATTGAAGCTAAGAGGAGTATCAAGCTGTTTGGTAAGGAGGATTGGGGTGAAGTGACAAGAGCTAACTAGCTATTATTTGCATGGAGCGTGGATGTTCGGCCATATCCAGATATATATAGAAGAATGAATTTCCTAAGTTTGGTGTTTTTTTGTGTAAATTTATGTATGTTTCGAGTGTTTCGGTCTAATTAAATAAATATGTTGCTTTCTTAGTTTCTTGAATATGTATTTAATTATATGTGATCAGATTCTGTTCTTAAGGTGTCATCGAGATATAATTAAGCCTATTATTGCCGCTTCGAAAAACGCGAAGAAGAAAGTTGGTTGCTATACAGAACTCCTGCTAAGGAACTAGAAGAAAGAAAGCGATTTGCCATTGCTGCAGCAGCAGCTAGAGAGATTTTAAAACAGATGCTCAAAAACAAGAACACTCAATATTCCAAGCCTGGTTCACATCCAAGATAGTGAAGAGGTAAATAACATGATTAAAACATATGCTCAAGTGATGCAAATATTTTTAAAGGAAAAAGAAAAAAATTGAGACTTTTATCATTGATTTGACTAGATCCATTATAAAAACTACTTAAACATAAACTTGAAGCAAAATAAATACATTAAAACTAAATAAAAGCTCGAAGGAAAACAGATTGCCGTCAGTACACAAAAGTTTCAAAACAATTCATGAAGTAGCATGAATCATCGAAGGAAATATACCATCATACTTAGAATTTAGTTTCCTTCATTTTGATTTATCAATAACATAACCTACACCAATTATAAAAAGTAAAACCTTATATATATAATTCAAAAACACAAATCTTTATGCATCTATAATCAATATATATTCACTTTTAGTATTTAGTATTTAGCTAAATAGAATGTTTGAAGTTCCTTATGATTCACTGTAAATCAAAATATATGTATAAACAATAGAGGGAGCTCAGTTGATGTGCACATGAATAAGCAAACATAAGCTTTTAGGTTCAAGTCCAAATATACACAACATATAATTCCTAGTAATGGGCTTGTTAATTCTTTATTGATATGAATGTAAATCGATACATAAAAATCATACTTAAACAACAAAACTCTAAACACCAAGCATGGTTGCTACAATTTCTTATAAAGTTAAATCTCTTTACATAACAACATGAGTGCATTGCTTTAATACGATTATGTTGGTGGGAGAACCACTGGTGGTGGCTTTGAGATACTTAGAAGGGATAAAACACACTATTTATTTCAAGAACAAAAGCTTACAATAATTGAACAAAAGCCTTGAATACATACCCTCTCTCTTTCTTTCTTTCTTTCTAGTGTTTTTCTCAAATCTTAGCTGTCTATTTATATACGAATTCAAAACAAGAAAATTCAACCTTCAAGTGTGAAGGCGGCTAGCGGCTGGGCGGTGACAATTGGTGGCTGGAAGTGGTGGCGGGTGGTTGCCTTCCTTGATCTTCTAGATTGAATTTAATTCAACAAATCTCCCCTTTAAACTCAATCGAGGGATGCCATTCCAAGCATTAACTTCAATATAATAAATGCTTTTCTCTTCAATGACTTTGTAAAGATATCTGCAACTTGATCATTTGTTTTGTAGGATATCAGTTCGACTTCTTTGTTCTTTACATGCTCTCGGATAAAGTGATGACGTGCATCAATGTGTTTACTTCTTTCATGATACACCGGGTTTTTTGCCAATGCAATCGCTGATCGATTATGCAATCGCTGATCGATTATCGATATAAATCTCTGTAGGATTTTCTTGAGGAAATCCTAAAAACTTTAGCAAATTCCTTAACCATATTAAATGGCATACAACTGAGTTAACAACAACATACTCAGCTTCACAACTTGATAATGTTACTATCGATTGCTTCTTAGATGACCATGTGAAAGATGTGTCTCCCATGAAAAAGACAAACCCCGTTGTGCTTTTCCTTTCATCCAAATCTCTACCCAATCACTAACCGAGTAGTCCAGTAAGATTGAAA